CACACCCAAAACAATCCTGTCTTGCCAAGGGCCGGGCACGTGGCCGGTGCCCAGTGCCCAGTGCGTGCATGGAGAGCGGGCCTCAGCTGGGCGTGGAGAAGCGGACGTGGGATGGTGCACAGGTGCGGTGGAGTGGGCTCGGCGGGCGCGCGTCCCCGGGCAGCTGGCCTGGTGCAGTGGGGAAGAGGACCCGGTGCGCACCTGTACTGGCGATGGGTGTGGTCGGTTTCCTTGACCCAGGGGATCTGAAGTGCTGCACTGAGCAGTCCACTCCGTTCCTAGTGGAAAGAGGAGGGTGGCTCCCAGCGGTTCTCAGAGCCGGAAGGGGCATCAGTGTCCCCCGGAAACACGTTGGGAATGCACACTAGGGGGCTGCACGGCAGACCCACTGATTCAGACTCCGGGTGGGCCGGCCAGCTGCTGCCATAGCCCTCCAGGTGAGTCTGATGCAGGCCCAGTTCGAGAGCTGCTGGTGTGTGGGAGGAGCACCAGACTTTGGGAGGGAGATGGAGGGAGAGGTGAGGTAGGACATGTACTTGGGTGAAGACCTGCTGTGCCCTGAGCAATGCGTGACATGACTTACCCTCTCCTTTAAGGTGATCTGAGCGGTGGCACGGGAGGTTCTGTACCTCATTATAGATGCAAGACCCAGCCTCAGGGAGTTACATGACTTGCTTAAGATCGCACAGTAAGTGCCAGCGCCAGGTTCTGCCCCCAGTTTCCTGACTCCTAAAGCAGGATTTCTTACCACTGCAGGTGCCTCCTGGCACCACACCAGAGTGAAGGTCTGGGCAGCAGTGCCCAGGAGCTCAGGGTTGCCTGGCGGGAAGGGGCCCAACGCCTGATGCTCCTCCCAGGGCTGGGCTGGGGGCTGCCCCAGAGCAGGGAGCCTTCTGCTCCTAGTCCTGCCTGTTACCGATCTTGTATGAGGTTTGCCATTCACACCAGAGCGGAGCGGAGCACCGGCGCCTTCCGGAGTGACCAGCTGTCCTCTGGGAATTCCAGAACTGAGCGGCTAAACGCGAGGTTGAGAAAAGTGGAGTGAAAAATTACCTGTGTGCGGCCATTACTTTAGATTTTTTTGTTTGAAAGAAAAAGCTACATTAAGAACATACAGAGGAAAAAATTATGAACAGTTGTAATTTTCTTCCTTTTTTCCCCCCAAGTTGTGTGATGTGGTTATAATAGTTTATATGATGACTATGCATTCATTTATGCTTGAAAGTGCTACTGGTGACAGCCCTGGGGACCACCTGTGGCATCGTGGACAGCTCTGTGCCCGGGCAGCACGCGGGCAGTCTCTTCCGGGTAGTGTCCGGCTGTCCCACGCCTTACAGTCTGTCCCCAGGCCAGGAAGGACAGTCACTGGGATGTGACCTGGGGAGTGATGGGACATAGCTGGTGTCAGCGGTACTTTGACATTCTGTACGTTAAGCCCCAGCATCTTGTGTCCTCTGGCAATGACTCTCCATGACAGCTGTCACCTGGAGGGAGTAAGAGGGACCTCGGGGCCAAGGACTAGAGACCTGCAGGTCACCCCGAGAGCTGCAGCCTCTAGAAGGGCCGACTCTGGCACTCACTCCTCTCCAAACAAAGGCCATCCGACACCTTTAAACACAAAATAGTCTTTTATTTGTCAACGAAGGCTACACGGGTTCACTTCTGGTTTTGTTTTTTATGCCTTTTCTTTTTTTTCCCTAGAAGGTATCTACATCTGCATTTATTTACAGCCTTGTCCGTATTTACACAGTCAGGAATACAGTGTTAGAAACACAAAAGTGTTGAGAAAAAAACTTCTCAAAATGAGTTCCAGACTTCGGGAAAACTAGTTCCACATGGTAAGGCCAGAGTCTCCAGTGTTGGTCATCCAGAGGCAGCTCGGGAGAGTCCTGCCGAAGCTGCGGGTTCAGAAGTCTTCGAGAACAGGCAGGTTTAGAAAAGTGGGGTTCTGGGGTGAAGCCTGGGCTGCTGGGCACTGCCAGACATCTGTGACCCAGCTTCTGACAAGACAGCTGAGCTGCCTGGGGCTTGGTTCTCTGTTGGCAGTTTGCCCTCAGACTCAATCACATTTTCTTGGGGGACCCAGGGGTGGCCCAGTATCATGCTTTTGGCATTCCAGAGGGGGTAAGAAACCCAATGTGGCCCCACTCTGATCTTGCACATTCATGATGAAACCTAAGAGCTCACCGCTGCCGGGGGCGGTCAAGTACAAGTACACAAGGCTGGTTTTTGAGAATGTAAAAAGGTTAGAGAGGATACAGTTTCTATCACCTGAGCAATGAGTCTTTAAAATGAGTTTGCTGTTTCTGAAGGTTAAATGAAAGGGCCTTGAACTCCAGAGTTCCTTCTTGGAACCCCCTCCTCTCCAGTCAAACACAGACCTGTGTGTGCACTTAGCTGGGAGCCAGGAGCCTTTCACGGAGGGTGTTTAGTCCCACTGAAGGTCCCAAGGAGAGAGCAGGTGGTTTCTGGGACCCCTCAGAAGGTGGGCTCCACCCCAGGACCAGAAGCCATGACCTGGGGGTCGTGGTTGCCGTGAGGAATGGAGAAGAGACTTGACTTTGAGCACTGGGAGCTCAAACCCCAAAGCCAGGGACCCACTGAGGCCTGGTGGCTCCTTCCTCCCGGGCCCCAAGCTCAGGGCCGCTGGCCTCGCCACGCGGCCGCCGCAGACACAGGCTGCAGAGTGAATCCGCGATCTGAGGTTTCACACCGAGCGCCTCACCTCTGCACAGTGGAGGCTCCTGCCGTCCACACAGGTGGTGCTTAGGAGTCGTAGCCGAAAGGCCCTGCATTTTAACAGACATCTGATTGCTGTTATGTGCCTATAAATCACTGCCCAGTGTCACTCACTTTCCTTGCCTCGCCACGGCCTTCTGCGCCCAGCCCAGCCCACCTGACTGCTTGGAAGCACACCTCCTGGCCACCTCCACCTCTGGTCAGTTTCTTAAGGACCGTTTCAAACCCTGCCTTCCAGAGCTATATCTGGAGGTGGAGTGAAAAGGAAATCTCATCCTATAAAAAATGAAGTTGGGGCCATCACTGCAGTCTTATTTCCGGTGATGGCAGAGGTCTGAGGACGAGGGGCTGATGGCAGCTGTGGAGGGTAGGGGAGAACTCTTCCAACATAAACCTTTTTCTAGGGTCAGAAGCTGACATCCTGCAGAATCAAGAACCTGGGCCAGGGAAGGAGGGCTGGGTGCTCCGGGGCATGGAAACATTTTGGTTGGTTAGTGCCACGGGGCAGGTGCCATCGAAGACAGGATTTGATGCCTGGGGGGCACTAGGCACAGGACCTCTGGCTGGTGCCTGCGGGCTTGCTCTCGCTGTGAGATGGGGGTTGCTGGTCTCAGCAGGAGGATGGACTGAGAGGGGGCACAGAGTCACCTGCCAGCCCGAATGGAGCCAACTCCAAACCAGCCGCCACCACCGAGGCCAGAAGCCTGGCTCTGGTAGCAGCAGCGTCACTGTGACACTGAGGTGCTAACGCTACTGACTCCACACCCGAGATCCTCTCTCTAAAGCTTGGGGTTACTTCAGCTTCTCCCTGCGCAGAAACTGGGCCTCTGCGGTGGTACGTAACCCAGGAAAAATATAACATCAATCATGTAAGGAAAGGGACACTCAATAATTCTGTGTTTTTGATCTTTAAAAGTCCACACTGTTACTTTGGTGGGGTGGTGGTAGAGGATCAGAGGGTTGGGGGGTGAAGGGCCATGATGCCCTGGCCCTCATTCTGTCTCTGGCCTCCAAGTGGATGTCCTCAGCAGGTCTTGACTGATGTCAGGCAGCCAGGATGGAGCTGATCAGCTAAGGCCTATTGAAGGGCCCCTATGTCAACTAGGCCTATTGCCCAAGGACCCCTATGTCAAGAGTATATTTTGAGAGGCATACATCTATTTTGGATAAAAAGCCGTGTTCTGCAGGCCAAGCTGTTTTCCAACCCCTCCGAGAATGATCCTGCTGGCTGGGAGCCCACCACTAGCTCCCGCCGCATCCCGGGCAGCCAGGGGGCGCTGTGCCCGACTCAGTGGAGCTCTGGACCCAGAGGCACCGGGCAGCCGTGGACAAACGGGCCAGGGTGCACTGTCGCAGCAGCGAGACGTTTTTTGGAAATAGGAAGAGCACTTAGAGAAACACACCCTCTGGTCCCAGTGGGATAACATAAGGCGAAACCTCCTCTCCCGAGGAGCTGCGGGCGCCTCCCTCTGCCAGGCGGAACCCAGGCTACGCCGCTCCTATTCGCATGCAGCGAGAGACCTTCCTGGTTTCATTAACTTGTGTAATATTCTGAAGACTCTGTGAGTAAGGCTATAAAGGTGCCATGAGCTTATCAGTCCAACAAGGTTGCCACGGGGAACAGCGCAGACTCAGAATTCATTTTCCACACGGAATGTAAATGTAACCCATAAAAGTCCCATTTTCTAAGAAGCCCAGCTCAAAAGGAAGCATTTGGCTTCCCCTCCTGGTCTCCCAGAGCCTCCTGTGAGTGGTAATGACGATGGTCATTAGGCAGATGACTGGGGACAAGAAGCTCCTAGCTCTTGCTGTCACAATCCCTCCCCTCCATGCTTCCTCTGGCCTGGTTGGCTGCTGCCTCTCCCTGGGCATGCCCACTCTTCCTAATGACCTCAGGCACAGGTCTGCACAGGGACAGCCGTAGCCTGGCCTCCAGGATCCATGGGCACCCGCCTCAGGAATGGCCCCCAATCCTGGGGGGGGGGGGGTTGCATGACATCACCAGGCTGCCCCAAAGTAGCTCTTTCCAGACTTTCTTGAAGACCCTGGCTGGGCTGCCCTAGGGGGAGGTTGCTCAGGAATAACGTCACGGGAGCTTCCTGATGGCGTCTCCCGCTGCCTGCAGCTCTGCGGTGAGCCCGTAGGGAAGGCAGAGGGGCCTTCGGACGCCGGTTGGAAGGAGGCTTGGCTCATGCCTTCCTCTCTTTGGCTGACTCTTTCTTAAACATCTTTCCAGAATCAAAGGCCACCGAGCACCTCTCTCCACACTCCTACTTCTCAGTGGTGGCAGCCGAGCAGTGGAGGGGGATGACCGGCCATGGGGAGAGGGCTTCACCTAGGAAGGCAGGCTGGTGCCCTTGCCACCACTGCCATCTCTTTGCCACGGGTGGCCTTCCCCTCCCTGGACACGGTGCCACGCTGCGGGCTTGCTGCGCAGTGCTGGTTCTCACATCTGACTTTGGGAGAGAAGAGGAGATGAATAAGGAGTATCGTAGGAGGACCAAGCAGCCACAGCCATCCCGGGTGCCTCTGCATCTTGGGGAGGACGAGGCTCTCAGCCCCAGGATGTTATGTCACCAGCCTGGGGGAAAGGACCTGGGAGACACTTTCTCCTTCCCAGCATGAGGGTGGCATCAACGACTACACAGGATTTGCAAAAGGGGTAAGGGGTTTCATTTAGCATCAAAATATAAAGCTTGAACAGGAGTCTGGGGCAGCTCGAAAGAGGTGCTGGATGGCATCATGAAACTCCCCGGAGAAAGATGAAGCCATCTGTGGTCCACCAGAGGCATGGGACACAGTGAATAAAAAGCCATCACGTGTCTGCGGGAGCTTAGCCAGGGATCCTCAGGTCTGCGGACCCTCCTTCCAGGCCCCCTCAGAGGTTTGTTACTGGCCTGTTACCTGCACCCCTTGCTCCTGCCCGACCCCCATGGAGGAAAGGGTTGCACATGAGACAAGTTAGCACAGACATTCATGTCTCACATCACACTGGGTACCGGGGGACAGACAAGGACGCACCCTAGGAGATGCATCTGAGAGGAGAAATGTACCCCAAACAACAAGGAAAACTCCTCAAGGAAAAGGGAACAAAAGACAATAAAGTTTTCATTGTGATCACACTACAGAAAAAAAATACCTTCTGATCTTTGCAAAAAATGTATGAAGGCCAATTTTGTGTTTTTCTTTTCTGTTCTTTAAAAAAAGGATGTTGCATGAGTTACAATGCAACCAGTATCTTTTTTTTTTGTTTCTTTTCTGCACTTGTTAAAAAAAGTTTTTTTTTTTGTTTTGTTTTGTTTTTTTTAAAGTACAACACAGTCAGGTGTGCGGCCACAAAAGAGTAGCTGTCTTTGGCAAGAAGTCCAGGCCACGGTCCTCTCTGTCACCTTCGGCCCATCTCACTCTGTCTCATGAAGTGGATGTTGTTGGCGCTGTCTGACAGTTCCGGGTACTGCTCGACAGAGATCACAAAGAAGCCATCATAGCCTTGAACCCGCCCTGTGGTCAGTGCCTGCTGCTTCTCCCCCTCCGTCCAGGCCCGCAGGCCCTCCTCCCCCTCCCGGAGTCGCTGCCGCTCGCGGGCCCACGCCTGGCGCACGGCTCTCTGCCGGGCCAGCTCCAGCACCCGCGCCTTCTCCTCATCCAGCGTCGTCCCGTAGCGGGCGTGCAAGCACAGTGCCCCGAACTGGAGCTGAATGTCTGTGTAGCGTCTAGTCCTGCCGTTGAGCATCGTGTTCATCTGGGACACGGTGACGTTGACCCCGTTCTCCAGGGTTCGCCGCCCCCCACTGAGGCCCAGGATGGCCAGGTCACCTTCCGAAGGCCCTGGCTTCACGAAGTAGTGGGTGTCCACCCCGTCGATGGTGAAGTGCAGGTTCTCCAGGTAGTGGGCGTTGTTCAGGATGGCGGCAATCCTCCGCCCATCCTCGTTGGCCACACTAATGATGTCTGTGGTCACTCGGCCGTCCTTCAACGCAAACTTGACCCCCTTGCCGAAGACAGAGCCACTGGATGCAAATGTCTTGGTCTTAGGGGCCTGTTGGCAGCTGGTGACTGTTGAGCCATAGAGCTGGTCGAAACGTTCTAGGGTGACGAAGGCCTTGAGCTGTTTCTGCACTTCGCACTGTACCCCGAGGATAGACTGATGAGCAGAGGGGTGGGGGAGAGAAGAGGAGAGTGAGACAAAGGAAAAAATAAAACTCAAGGGCCTGGAGAATCTGTTTACATAACTAAGCCAGATCTATATGTATGTATTAAGCTGTAGCATGTGGCTCTACTCCGGATCACTAGGACAGCCAGCCATCCTCTATCCGTCCTGCACCCATCATCACTCTGAAACTGCTCGGGGAGCATCTTCTCTCCTGGGCACTGGGGACGTGACGATGAGTCAGACACCGTCCTACCCTGGAAAAACGCATCGCGTGGTGGGAAAGACAGACGGGACGACAAAACGGTGCGGTCAACGTGAGCACCAGTGGCCTCGGAGCAGCGACAGCTGTCGCTGACCCCTCCTGGGCTGGGAGCGAAAGGGTTCGCATCCTGTGTCTCAGTTCATCTCCACGGTGACTCTGCATGACTGTTCCGATCCCCACGCTACACCTGAGACAACTAGCTCCGGGAGGGTGTGGCTGGCCCTCCAAACGTCCGAGTCAGCCTCCCCCCAGGTCTGTCTGACTGCAGAGGCTCCATTTCAAGGAAGGGCTCCGGGCCGGGAGAGCGGACAAGGCTCAGGTGCCTCCCTGGAGGTGGAGGAGTGAGGCGGGAAGCGGGGGTTCAAGGACAAACTCGTGTTTGAGCTGGGACTGAGGACGAGGGGGTGATGTGAGAGGGAGGAACAGCAAGAAATGCATTCTCGGCAAGGAGGCTCGGAGAGATGACAAGCGGTGATTTATATAAAGCCGCTCACTCTGCCTTATTGCTTTCTGCTGTGTTTATAAATGATTTTCAAGTAGGGGCTCTGCCCCACAGTGCTTCCTGGGGGATCCTCAGGCGTCCCTGCCCTCGGCTGCTTGGGGGGACACTTTGGGCCCTATCTTGCTGGCACACTACCTACCTGTCCCTCCTGTGGCTCAAGAGCTCTGCAGAGCAGCCGGCCCTGGGGCCTTATCAGCAACCCGGGGAAATGGCTTTAGCAACAGGCCCATCGGCTCCTCACTGAAATTAAGCCCTCTTTATAATTAATAGAACCCTGTCTGCGAACAATTATTTCCTAGAGTTTCACGAAAGCCGGAGTGCTCAACAACAAAGATCTCTGATGCCTGCCAAGGGCAGAAATCAATAATTCACTGACAGGCCAGGTTGGCAAACAGGCTGTCAGAGCTGGGGCTCTGCGTGGGGGAGGGGCCCCCGGGTGGCGCTGGAAGAGCTGAGCCGCCGGGATCAGGCCTGGGAACAGGCAGTGCTGTGGGCATCGGGCTGCCCGGAGCGACAGGGGGACTGAAGAGGGGCAGGGGCAGGCCTGGGGTGGCAGGGGGCAGCAGCCCGAGGGCGGCCTTGGTGGCCACAGACGTGGGCTCTCATCACTTTGTGCCATTTTCCAGCTGCGTGACCGCAGGCAAGCTTCTCTCTGAACCCTGGTCTCCCCACTGTAAAATGGGGGGGGGGATGCCTACTCCACAGGGCTGTTTACTTCTTTTAGCCATTGGTTCATTCAACGCAAGTTTTCCATGCACCTACTGTATGGACCAGGCACTTTGCTGGGTACGAACGACACCAGGACTCGCCCTCGTGGGGCTCACGCCCGCGGAGCACAGGGAAGAAGGCAGGAGTTAAAGGGCAGGGTGGTGAGCGCGTGAAAGAGGAAGCTGTGGGCGCCAGCAGAGCGGAGGGCGGAGTCGGGGGAGGAGACAGCGGACCCAGGCCTGGTGGAATCAGCAAGGATGAGAGAGACCACGGGGAAGTTCCCGCCCCCAGCCGCATGCCAGCTGGCACCCTGCTTTCCCCTCAGTCAGCCTGGGATCCCCCTGAGGGCCTGGTCTCTGCCTGCCTGAGTCCTGCTCTCACCCGCAGCAGCCTGGGGCCTGGACGAGCCTAGTACAGACCTTATGAATGAGGGAGTGGGGGGGAGGGGGGAGCAAATGGATGCCTGAAGGGAGGGGTGAAACTGTTTCTGAAGGGCCTTTACAGCTACAGAACTCTCGAGCCTTTGAAGCTGAGTCACGAAAGGAAGACAGAGAACGTAACATGTTTTGCGCATCCACAGACAGGTCCGGGTTGGAGTCTCAGCTCCACGCCCTCCGTGCCGTGTGGCACTGGAAAGCCTCGGGCATGACATCTGTAAAATGCGAACACTAACGCCAGGGTATAACTGTGGGTTCACGTCTGCAGAATATCTCACGCAAGGCCAGGTGCAGGGAGGTGCTCAGAAAATGTCACATTTGTGTTGCAGAATGCACGCTCCTTCTTCGCGCTTTTGTTCTGGGTAGTGACAAAGGCTCATTGTGTCTGGAACTCTAAACTCAGTGTAACCTACACAGCTCCGCAGTGCGGCTCCTGAGGGTCTGTGCTGTTACAGCTGGGCCCACAGCGGCCGGCCAGGGGCAGGGTTACTGGTGTTTGCTGAACAGTTTCGGGCAGGCGCTGTGGACATACCACACACGTTTCTATCAATGGCCCAAACCTTCCTGAAAAGCGGGCAGGACCCACTCCTGGAGTGTCTGCACGGCCCCGGGGGTGGGCAGCCTCGTGCACGGATTACCTTGCTGTTGTCCCACTCCTGAGTTTTCATCTGTGTGTGGACGAGCTCATAGGATGGTTCCATGGCATCCATGTCTGGCTTGGGATAGCCAGGAATCACATTGTGAAGCTGAAATCCAAAGGTGAGCAGCCAGCTGTTGACATCTGGGTGGGAGAGAAGCAGAAATATCCCCGTGGAGTAAGTGGACTTTGGATGTGACATATCCCAACAAAGCAGCCTGGGGTTGGGCTGTGGGCGGGGGTGGGTGTGTGGACGTGGCTGGTGGGAGGGTCAACTGGTATCGGCACTTTGGAAACCGGTTTCATGGTATTCTGCAAAACGGACCCTTGGGACCTAGCGTTCCCATCCCAGCTGTACATCTAAAAGAGATGTAACTTAAGGAGAACCTAGGTTCCACACTCCCCTTTGTACTGTCACTCCAACCCCAGACCTTCAGCTTCATGTACCCAGAGGCAGCTGTGGATGGGTGAAGACTCCTTCACACCCACCCCAAACTCAAGAGGAAACACTAGCAGAGGACCATCACTCCCAAAGGAAAGATGTGTTACCAACGACTTTCAAAGAGAAAATCCACTTAAGAAACAAACTCTCTGTCTTCCTCCGATTCTCTTGGCAGAGATTGGAGCCTCAGGGCCAAAGTACAGGACAGGAGATGTCCTGTACCCAAGACCAGGGAGATTTTCCCATGATCTTGTCTGTTATTTTCTCTGATGGCTTAAGGGCATCACTTAACCTCCTTGTGCCTTCTTTATATTGGGCTTGAGGATCTAGCCCCATAGTCATGAGATTTATTGATTTAAAACATTCCTTGGGGGTTACTAGTTATACGATATTAGGTATAGGGACAGGTAGAATTTTGCCATGAGCGTTTGGTTCACCAAAGAACGAAATCAGAACTCCAAGACGTAAGGAAAAGAAAGAGAGCGGAGGGTATGCGACCAGCTACGTGGCCCCTGTGGCTGAATGCCTTTATGTGCCTAGTACTGTGTCATACAGACCGGCCCTCTGCACACTCAGGACCCTGAAGGGGAGATGGGACATGGGCAGGGAGAACTGTGACACAAGAAACAAGATGAGGAGAGGTCAGAAGTCTTCCAGTTGGCCAGTCTGACGTGTCTTCGCGAAGAAGGTATTTAAGCCAAACGCTGAAAGCTGTGCACATGTTGGGCGGCTTTGATGGGCGTGAAGGGGGGCTCCAGGGGACTCGTGCACGGGGAAGGCCTGCAGAGGGCAGGCGAGTGCAGGGAGCGTTCAGGACACCAGACAGCGCGAGAGAACCGGAAGAAAACGGGTTGCGGCAGGAAGAGTTTGGGATGGCAGCTGGGAGGTGACCTGGGCCTACGGGAGAGGGCTTGAGCATGGTTTGAGATGGGGCAGCTGAAGATGACAAAGCAGTTGCTGAGCAGAGACTTGGAATCCAAAGTCTGGGGAAGGCAGGATCTGGAGCTGAGCCCCAAAGCCAGCACCCCAGGCCTGCTTTTAGCTTCTTCCAAAGGAGACAGACCCCTGGCCAGGGAGGTCCTGCTTAGAGTGCAGGCCTTGGAGGAACTCTCTCCCTACCACCCACCGAGTCCATCCCAGTGCTGAGAGGGTTCTTCTGGGGTCAACAACTGTGCCCCTCTCACCCCCACCCCGTGCTGCCCTTCCATTCAAACACCTTAGGTCTGCCTTTGTTTTGTTTTGGTTTTTTGGTGGTTCAGAGCCCCTCTCTGGGGTGTGAAAGCTGGAGGCACTGAGGTGGAGGGGAGGGAGAAAGGAAAGTTTGGAAACTCAGGTTCTACTTCTAGAAGAATCCCATAAGGGAGAGAACACGGTGAGGCAAGACAAACCCAGGTCCAAACTCTGGCTCCTCACTTGCAAACTGTGTGAACTTGGACACGTTCCCTTAACCATTCTGAGGCTGTTTCCTTATCTACAAATGGAAGGCAGAGATGGTTTTCATTACGTCACAGAGAGGAATACTCAGTGTTACCATTTTGGGGCAGCCATCAGACAACGAGAACTGCTGCAAGCGTGTTACGTGAGTATTTTAAAGCTCGGCTCCATTCTTGGCTCATAGAAGGGTTTCTGTGCTCCTCAAACCCACCCCCGTCTCCCCACCTCCCCTCCTCCTCTGCCAGATCTTTCCTCCCTGAGTTTCTAAGTCTCTGCTTCTATGAATCTTGGCAGATGGTTCTCTGGGAAATTAAAACAAAGAGAACAAAGTGGGGTGGTGAAGGGAACGAAGCCATTTTGTCGGAGGCTAGGAACTCGCATCTGAATTCACAGTTGCAAAGGAAACTAGGGGCCTGAAGAGAGGGCTGGGCCTTAGTTATAAGCCATGGAAGGTGGGAAACGAGTTCCTCATTATGCCTTTAGGAAAAATGCTGAAAACTGTTTTATTCATGTCCCCCGCCCCCCAACACACACACAGTTGGCTTTCCTGAGGAGTTGAGAATTTTACGCGTCCTCCCTATGGCATCAAACACAGACACGTCCTTCAGGTGAAAAAGCTCGTCTCTCCTCATACCTCCCAGACTGCAGCGTGGCCACCTGGGACGGTGATGACTAATACAATCCGCTTTGTTGCACTTTACAAAGTGAATCTGAATCCAAGAATGAGAACCTTGGAGTCGGAGTAGAGGTCTAACCCCCGCCTGCCACTTAGTGGGCCAGCGATTTGACCTCTCTGACCCCCACTCTCCTCCTCTGAACTCGGGGTCAGTGAGCCCCATCTCACAGGCTCGAGTGAGAGTGAAGTGCAGTAGTGTACATGGAGTATGTGAGGCGGTGGACATGTTCTGGTGGTCTTGCCAGCACCCCATTCTGCCTGCTCTCTCTTGTGCTTTGAGGCCCTCCTGGAGCTCAGTAATGAGGCACGTGACCAGTGCATCACGTCTCCCCGGCCACGGTGACTGCTTCAGGGGTTGTCATGTGAGCTGAGCCTATCCGATGGGAGTCTATCTCAGAACTCCTGAAGAAATTTTTGGGGAAAAGGTGCTCATTTGCTTATTGTTATTGTTAGATGTGAATGAGGTTGCATGTAGCCCATGTAGAAGCTAAATGGAAAGGTTTAGTGAGAATTAGTTGTGTTTTGGTTTTAAGTAGTAAAGTGTTTTTTTGCACTATTTCTTTTTTCTTTTCCGCTACAATAACGTGCCAAGACTTCTCTCAGGAAACTCACTGGAGGGTGAGGCAGGGCGTGATTACTGCAGACAGAAGTGCCCGCAATGTCCTCTCAGTCTGTGAAGGTCTTCTCGGGCTGGCACGGGCGGAGCGTGGTGGCTCTGGGACACCCTGTGGGGCTGTTCTGTCCGTGCATCTGCAGGCGCAGGGGTGTGTCCATCACACTGCCCACCCGTGTTCTCCTTTCCCACTCTCGGGGCTCTCAACATAACCACCTGAATTCTCTCAATATGACCTCCTGGAGTCCACCCCTGAAGGAGGGGTCCGCCAATCGCTGTCCGCAGAAATAGGGTCCGGTCTGGGCTGCGGAGTTGAAAGGCCAGGAAGCCTGTCCCTAAGGGGCACTCATGTGACTGTACACGATGCCCTCTCTAGGCTCTTGTTAAATTTTTTAAAAATTGATTTGAGAGAGAGAGAGAGAGAGAGAGAGAGAGATAGTGATAGAGAGAGAGAGAGAGAGAAACTCTGATTTGCTGTTCCACTTATCTATGCATTCATTGGGTGACGCTTGCATATGCCCCGACCAAGGATCAAACCAGCAACCATGGCTTATCGGGACAATGCTCTAACCAACTGAGCTACCCGGCCAGGCCTCTCTGCGCTCTTGTATGTGCAGTTCCCCTCCCCAAGTGCCCTTCTCTCCACCACCTGATGGCTGTCCACTCATAGCGGGCCTCCACCATCAGCAGCTCCCTGGGCAGAGCCAGCGTTGCCTCCTGTGTTCCAATGGCCATCGGTGCCATCAGCCTGGGCCCCTCACACCGGACTGCAGCTGTCGGTCTCCCCTGCAGTGTGCATTCCTGGGGGCAGGGATCATCTTTCTATCACTGGTGCCGAAACAGTGGTTGCACAGAGGAGGCACTTGTTGAATGAAGGAAACAGCCTTAAAAGAGGGGGCAAGCCCTGGCTGGTTTGGCTCAGCGGTTAGAGCGTTGGCCTGCGGACCAGAGAGTCCCGGGTTCGGTTCCCGCTAAGGGCATGTACCTCGATTGCCGTTTGTCCCTACCCGGTTGGGGTCGTGTGGGTGGCAACCTGTCGATGTGTCTCTCTCACATCGATGTTTCTCTCTCTGTCTTCCTCCCTCTCTCCCTCCTGCTCTATCTGAAGATAAATGCAAACATGTCCTCGGGTGAGGATTAAAAGAAAAAGAGGGGGCAATAGGATTGTGTTACAGGACACAGGTGACTAGGTTTACAAGTTGGGATATGACACAAACTTTCTTCTATGGAAACTGCTTTACCCAGACCTGAACCCCCACAGCCATTCCGACCTAGAGGTCTCCTGGGGCGGGGAGTGGCTGCTTCTGGGAGGACTGTGGCTGCTGGGGACACGTCTGGCATGTGTGACCTATGGGACACTTTACACTCAGAGTGGTCTCACAGTAGTAGAAAGCAAAGCCCACTTTTAAAATCAGAGGGTCGAGGAAAGGAAACCAATGTGAGCTGGGCACTGTGCTGGGCAGGTTCTAAAGTGGATCGCATTTCACCCTTCCAGCCATCCTACCGGGAAAGTTATTCTCTATTTGTTCACCTGTTCTTTGCTCCTTTTGTCCCTATTTTCCTACCCTCTTTGAATTGAATATTTTTTTAGTCTCCCTTTTATCTCCACTATTGACTGATTTGCTTTGCCTTTGTTTTATTTTCAGTAGTTTCTCTAGGATTGACAATGTGTGTATTTAACTTATCAAAGTCACGGTATGTATTCTAACTTCAGTGTACAAATCAGGAGTTCAGGGAAGTTAAGTAATTTTCTTTCTTTCTTTCTTTTTTTTTACTGTGATAACTTAGAACTGGTGGACTCATTCACCCAGTTCTGTCTGTCTCCAAAGTCTAAATTTCCCATTACTTCATCCCAAAAGAAGAATTTTCTTTGTAAAGCCGTACTTTCACCAAACTCCCCAGGGACTCATGGCCAGCCTCATTTCTGGGTTGGAAACTCCCCAAGTGCATTTTAAGGAATGCATCCAGTGAGATATTAGGGTTTCACGGTGAAAACGGGGTTTCATGGTCAAATAAGTTTAAGAGAGAGTGGGTGAATACTACAGGACTTCTCAGAGCCTTTCATAAGCTGAAATGTATTATGAACATTTAAGAATGGTGGCCTCCCTGTCAAACTGATTTGATGCGAGAAACAGTTTTTCCAGAGCATTTCTCTGAACTAGTGTTTCTTCAAATACACTTTGGGAAATGCTGCCCGAAGGGACAGCCACCGTTTCCCGTACCCCATGGTGGCTTTCTCAAGGACGACCGTCTTGGCGGATGACCAGAGCAATAGGAAGAGATGACCAGCGTTTGCCCTCTGCACGAGCCCCGATCCTCACCTGTCATGAAGCATTTGATGTCCTGAGAGTTGCTGATGGGGTTGTTGTTTTTGAACATATAGAGATTAAAAGGCATGATGTTGCTGCTGCTAAGGTGCTTCCACAGCTCGTGGTCCGGGCTCGTCCAGCGACCGGCCAGCACATCATAATCCCGTCGGCCCATGTGGACGAGCTTGGTGAGCGGGTCATAGAGGCCACCGTGGTAGCCGATAATGATCTGGAAGTTGGGGTTGGTGTCCATGTAGATCTCCCCATAGGCCGTGTACAGGACCTGCTTGATCATCAAGCCCGTTCCGCTGAAGACAGCAAGAGGGGTCCCGATGTTGTCACAAGCTATGTAAAACTCATCGCCGCTGCTCAGCTCCATGGCAAAGAGGTGTCCTTGCAGGTCGTAGTAGAGGGACGTGATCTCAGAGCTGGAGTGGTTGTACAGGTGGGTGACCTTGGTGGGGTTGGTCAGATCTGCATAGAAGAACTGCAGGTGGTGGCTGTGGCTGCTCTTGCTGGACACCCGCCGCCCCAGGCCATCGTAGCGGTACCTGACACTCCAGCCGCCAGCCCGGTTGTAGGCCTTGACGAGCAGGCCAGCGGAGTTGTACTCAAAGACATCACCACCCCGCTGCCTCAGGAAGCCATCCTCATCCATCCTGTACTGCACGTCACCTAGTCTAGTGATGCGGTCTCGGAGGTCGTACCGTAGTGGGGTCAGCCGTGCACTGTTCCCAGGGCTCAGTAAGTGCAGGTTCCCATTCAGGTCATAGCTATATCGCCAGAGTGGCTTGTCATTGATGGAGACGGTCTGTAGCTGGCCATCAGCGTCGTACTCATAAGAGTAGCGGGTGGTGTTGGCATAGGGTCCCACCTTCAGCTCCTTCTTCACTACTCGCCCCATGTTGTCATACTGGACGGTCATCCAGTACATGAGTGAGCGGAAAATCTCATATTGCACCTCCTTCATCCGCCCGTATGCGTCGAAGTGCTTGGTGTGGGTCATGACCGCGGTGGTGATGATTTGGTTGATGTCATAGTAGATGACACCAAACTTCCCGAACTGCTCTGTCTTGCCCGACACGTCGTCATAGCGATAAAGATCGATGGGCAGTGGGGTCTCGTTGATCATGGCCTGCATGCTGGTCACCCGGAAACTGTTGTCATAGTTGTAGTCAAAACGAGCATTGACCATGCCTTCCTCGGTGAAGCGGAAGATCTGGCGGTCGATCAGGGGCCCGATCTGACGGTAGCGGATGGTGCAGGTGAAGCCCTCGTTCTGCAGGTTGACGGTCTTCAGCATGCCTGCTGTCTCGTCGTAGGTGAAACTCACTCTGGTGGTGTCGTACAGCATCTCGGCCAGCTTGGACAGCTTGCCATACTTGTATATCACCCTGCGGCCGGTGCCCAAGTAGAAGGTGTGGAGGAGGTGCCCGTCCTCGGTGAAGTCCTGGATGACCGAGGCATTGCCCTCGGGGGGCTGGTAGATGTTCCGGTAGTAGCCCACTGAGCGAATGGTCTCTAACGTCTGCCGGGCCACGTTGGGCATTGTCACGGAGGAGAGGCGGTCGTTCTTGTCAAACTCAAAGATGTACTGCCTCTGGCTGTGGAGGAGCAGCACCATGGACTGGAGGGGAAGGAAAACCGAGAGATGAGGGCAGGGCGATGGGGAGGAGGGTAGGTCTGGGTGCCCAAGTCTTACAGAAAGGAATGCAAGGCCAAGGGAACCGGTGGTTCTCTGGTTAGGCCCGAACCAGATGCTTTCCAACCCGTGTGCCATGAGATTCTGCAACGGGTACAGATGTGCTCGGATGGGACAGCGCTCACCCCTCGGCCAGGCAGAGCCCTCCGGCCCCTTTCCCTCTTACGAGGAGCAGCCCTGTCTGTCTGCCCCTTAGTGTGGCACGGAAATGGTGGCCCGAGTGTGTGGCAGGGTGTGAGAAAGGTGGGGAGCACTGGCCTAACGTGTTTGCAGCATCCTCTCTCGTGGCTTCCTTGCCCCAGATCCCTACTAAGATCAATCCTCCTCCTCAAGCAAGAATGGTTTTCCTAAAACACAGGCTGACGATGTCTGGGGACTGCTAAACAACATCTGTTGGCTCCCTGTGGCCTACTGGATAAAGACCATGTTTGAGAAAAGGCATTTAAGACATTGCGCCATTGTTTCTCTAGTCACAGGTCATGTGGGAATGGGGGAACCTGGCTTCTAACCACAGACTCATTGTGTGGCCTCGGGAAAGTTCTTTCCCTCTCTGGCCTTGGTGTTTCAGTATGCTGGGTGACCTTCAAGGTCTCTCTTAGCACTACCACAGAATATTGCTCTGGGAGATGCTCACCCAGCACAGAGCAGGGAGAGCAAGCCCTGGCTCTGGACAGGTGCTCAGGAGTAGGAAACAAAGGAAGGATCTGGGTACCAAAACTGGGACATGAAGTACAGACTCTATTTCAAGGCTGAGTCAGCAAATAACAGCCTAGAGGTATCTGGGCACCAAAGCTACCATTCTCTCCTCTGTGGGACCAACTTCTGATTTCATGCCCTTTCTGACTCCTCACCCCTGGGATGAAATGATTCCTGACCTGAAGAGGAGGGATTTACCAAGGCCTCGCCCAGCACCCGAAGCTCAGGATTAAGCACTTCCTGCCTAAGTACTGATCCTTAGGCTTCTGCTTTGTTCTCTGTGGCCCCATGTGCCCTAGACCTGGGAGCAGACCTCTGCCTGTTTGGGGCCCTGAATCCTGCTCCGTAAGTCGAGCTTGTGTTTGATCCTGCTCCCAGCTGCAGCCTGTAAGGCACGACTTTCACATTCTCCTGCCTCAGCTCCCCCACCTGCCAAACCATCACCATGATCCATCCAGAAGCCTCTTGGGACCCCCTGGCCCTCTGTTGCAGATTTCCCTAAACACTTCCTTTTGGAGGCCACATGGGTCAGACCTGTCCTTTCAAGGTCAGCAGACTTGGCTTGACCATGAATCGAGCTACAGTGATAGACCTTCTACACAGCAAGGCCAGTGATGGAGGGCAACAGACACCTGCCTTCTCCAAGTACGTGTAGCTCCACGTCTTCCCATCAGCAAAGATCCTGGACGTGATGCGACCCGCCTGGTCATATTCCATCCTCTCAGACATGATGCCTCTCTGAATGCCGGCGATGTGGCCTCCCGGGGAGTATGTCACGTTGACGCCGTTCAGCCTGCTGCTGGGTGACCAGAGGCTGGGCCGTCCTGCCTGGTCGTACAGGATCCGGAGGGTGAACTTGCGGTGGTCATCATAGATCTTCTCTGTGCGTGTCACGCGGTCGAAGTCCAGAGACAGGAGGTTCCGATTGTGAACCTGGAGATGGGGTGGGAAGGAGAGAGTTAATGTGGGTCTGAGAAACTCCCGAGTCCAGGAGGCAGCACAGGCCCTGGGTGTCAACCAGGGTTTGGGCCCTGGCTCTGTCACTTAGCTCGGCGAGGCTTCCTCATCTGTGAGACGGGAATAATGATGCCAACCGCAAGGTCCGGTGTGAGGATAAGGACACCGCAGACGCCGAGCTGTTCCCGAAGGTGACCCACACCATTTCCCAGTGTGATTCTTCTACTAAGGACAAATGGCAGATCCTTCTCCACTCCCTCCTAACTAGGAAGAGGCCTGGTGGGGCAGCAAGTCAGTGCCTGACCCCACGGATCGCGTGCCAGGCCCTGTGTGGGCGGCTGGACACCGAGCAGACGAGAGCTCAGGGACGTGAGGACACGCTCCAGATCTCGCGGCTGGTGAGTGACTGGGTCTGAGCTTGACTGTCACCACTGCGGTGTGCCGACGGAGGCTCAGTGCTCCTCCCGGAGAGTCCGAGCCTTTGTGGGCTCTGGGCTTCCCTTCCCTGCTCTCACCACCATCAGGGCTTCTCCGTCACCCCGGCCGCCTCCCAGGCTGCTGCTGCCTCCTGGAGGTCCTGCGGGCCCTGTGTTGGCATCTGGGCTGGCCTCTCGGACTGTGGGCCACCTGGGGACACAGTCCTGGCTTTGGAACCTCTGCTGCTGCCTCCAGCATCAGGGGCCTTTGTGTGATCTCCCTGGGCACCTGGGTCAGCACCTGATTCAGTTTCCTTTCAGGGTCAGAAATACCGGGCTCCTGCAGGGGTGGCAAGAAGTCAGGGCTTTTCCTGTTTTAATACAGACACAGACTTCAGAGGTCTGTTTCTATATTTGGTACCTGTTACCCCTGAAACATGGCTAGGTACTCTGATGCTAAAATGCTCCTTCCTTCTCATTGGCGTCTGGGTACATTTGGGTACATTTTCCCCCTCTTCCCTTAGTCGCTGGTTCAATTTGACAAGTAGTAAGGAAGACCCGAGAAGAAAACAGACAAGGTAGGTCACATGATGCGAAACAACTCAAGTGGATGGAAGTCATGCAAGGCCCTCTGGAGCCCCGTGTGGTTGAACAGGGCTCAGGATTCCAGCCTCATCTGTGCCCAACTTTTCTGTGTGACCCTGGGCAAGTGTCTTTCCCTCTCTGAGTCTCAAGTTTTCCCCTCTGTAAAACAAAAGGCTGTTGAGAGGATCGAAGGAACCTCAGTAAATTACCTAGTGAAATGTGGGGCACACAGAAGGTGCTAAATGAATGATTGCGATGATTTCCACTAAATGACAACAAACGGTCATGGTCATTCTCAGAGAAAGTGGGGGCACGTGTCTCCCCGTTCTCCCCAAACAAATTCTGAAGCCTACAAAATGAGGATTTATAATGATGGTGCTGAGACGACTTCAGCTGCGAATGGCCTGGTTATAATAAGGTTGTCTTCCCAGGGGTAATCAAACACAATTGAAGAAGCAAAAACAGTGTGGCAGACAATTCCCATGAAAAATCTGAGGCGTTGGAGGCTGAAGCTGCCTTCTTTGCCGAGGGCACAAAGGAAGATGTAAGGTCTGCACCACCAACACTGCGGGAGCCCTTCTTACAGCATCATTTGGAAGGTCCCCTGTGACTCCCCCAAGGTGCTGCCACCCAGCCAGCTGCCTCCCTTATCCCCTCGAGGACCCCTGGTGAAGGGGAGCTATACCTCTGTGGCAAAATTAATAACATTGAATTAAGCAGTTCACTGGGGAACTGCCTAATGCTTCCTGTGCTCGGCAGTGGCGGCAATGAGATTATTTTACATCTTTCTTTATTAAAAAAGTTCCCAGTTGTATAAAAAAATGAGCTCCATTATGGGGAGGCACACCCGGATAACATTCTAATTCCACATGCCACCACTGTGGGTGGCCATTTATATTGGGAGGACGCGGAGATTCGGCCACCTTGCTGGAATGCTGTTAATCGCAGGCTGGGAGAGGGACTTTTGGGAAACTTTTCAAGCCTGGGAAACTTTTGGTCCAGTTCACATGGCAGAGAGGAAATCCTAATAGCACTAATTGCTGCTACTTATTGAGCACCTGGGGTCTACCAGCACCTGGCTAGGCATCTATCAAATATATTGTCTGGTTTCTGCAGAAGAATCTAGGACTCAGAGGAGTTGCTCAGGGCTGCACAAGGCCCAGGTCAAACTTCCCATTCAGCACACTGCCTCCAATGTTCGTGAGAAGCTGCTGAGAATTCAGACAGGGGCTCAGGGAGGCAGCAGAGAACAAAGACAGACAGGCCTTCCTTAGGGAAAGACTGGAAGGCTTTCCCCCACATTAGACTGTTGCTGGAGTTCTTGGCTGTTGGGAGAAAACAGGAAGCCTGTCTTTCTGGCTCGAGTGGTATGATGTTGGATAAGTCACTTAACGTTTCCATATCTGCTGTGAGAATTTCACTAGGAGACAGGGTGCCTATTCCTTACCCCCACCTAACTATGTGAATCTGGCAAAATCCCTTTTCTCTCTGGAACTCAGGTGCCCCATGTGTGAAATGGGGGCTTCAATGAACTTTATTTGCTAAAGGTCAGGGGACAAGACAGCCCCAGCCACGTAGCAAGAGGCTGATTCTGTGGTTTTTAGGAGTCAGGAACGTGTGGCTCAGCTCAGCACGTCTCTATAGCGCACCTGTGGTGTCCAAGGTACTGTGCTGAAAGCCAGGGCTAGTTCCTTTGCTTTCATGCACCCCGTCACCTTTCCTTCTAAAGCTAGAGGAACGAGAAGCTGGGCAACCAGGTGCTGGGGCAGAAGCCACGCTGCAGTGAGGCAGAGAAAGGGCTGGTGCAGGGGCACCCACACTGAAAAGCACTCTGCAATGCCAGGCCACAGATGCTAGCCCACTGGTAGTGACAGCCACGGTGGGGGTCATTTTGTTCATCTAGAAAGGATCACTGCCTGAAAAAAGGGGAGACTCTGGCTTAGGTTCCAAACAGCTAAACCGAATTTTCGGATATATCAGCCACAGCAATAACAATAATAGCAATAAGAACAGCAATAACAGCAACAACGCGAGCAGGTATTATTATTGACTGCTTCTTGTGGGCCAGTCTCCGCAGGAGGCACTTCATACATTTTTTCTAATCTTTGGAGCAACTTGCAAAATTAGTTTTATGTTCCTCATTTTACAGATAATGAAATTGAGGATCTGAGAGATGATGGACTTGCCCTGGTTCGCTCAGGGAATAACGGAAGCTAGAAATTCGACTCAGGCCGGACTAACGCCAAAGCCGCTGATCTTGCCACAGGTAACAACTGGAAAGACGCACAAGACGTGTTACATGAGTTGCCTGAAGAGGAAACTGAGGGCCCAGGAAAACTTCCTCCCCCAGGGACCATTTCTAGAACAGAACCTCAGTTGTCCAGACTCCTCCTCATTTCCCCACTCAGGACTCGGCCTCCAGGGGTCCCGCTCACCCGCAGCCGGCGCCCGAAGACGGTGACCTGGCCCCGAGCCTGCTCCTTGCGCTGCCGCCACTCCACCAGGTTGAGGCCGTTGTCGATGGGCAGCGTGACGTTCCTCTTGCCCACCGTGGGGTTGACGGTGCCGGCCAGCAGGTGGGGCTCTGTCTGCAGGGCCACCTCCATGCCGTTGGCCAGCAGCAGCCGCAGGGAGCCGTCTGCCCCAATGTAGTAGCTGTTCCGGACCTGGTCTGAGGGAGCGAAGACAGACAGACTTCGCTCAGAAGGGATGAGGGTGGAGGGAGGCAGTGGGGTGGTTTTCTGACATTACAAACAAAACATTATGGAAAACTAGGAAAATAGATGGAGATCAGCCATAATCTCAATTCCACCCCCCAAAAAAAATCCACTGTAAATATGATGGTATACTCTTAGACTTTAGGATCTTTTCTAATATAGTCAGAGTATAAAATGTCCCTTATAGAGCTTTTCACTGATGATTGTATTATATCGTTAAATATTTTTCATGAGAGGTTTTGCTAATGTGTAGTATTCCATTGTATAGAAATACTATATCGTTTATTTAACCAACTCACAAATAGATTTCTGATTGTTGCCAGTTTTCATAATTACATGTAACATTGCAAATACATATATTTTAAACATTATGCTAAGTGAAAGAAGTCAGACACAAAAGGCCTCATATCGTGTGAGTCCATGTATGTGAAATTTCAGAACAGGCCAATACAGAGAGACAGAAAGTAGATTGTTGAGGGGAAGGGAGAATGGGGGGTGACTGCTAATGGGTAAGGGTTTTTTTTGGGGGGGGAGTGATAAAACTTTTCTAGAATTAGATAGTGGTTGCATAACTTCATTTATATACTAAAAACCACTAAACCGTACACTTTTCAAAGGGTAAGATTTATGGTATGTGAATTTTACCTCAATTAAAAAATAGTTTTTTGGCCCTGGCCAGTTTGGCTCAGCGGTTAGAGCTTTGGCCTGTGGTCCAGAGAGAATCAGTTGGGTTCCCACTAAGGGCATGTACCTCGGTTGCAGTTTGTCCCCGGCCCTGTTTGGGTCGTGCAGGTGGCAACCACTCGATGTGTCCCTTTTACGTCGATGTTTCTCTCTCTCTCTCCCTCTCTCTCCCTCCCGCTCTATCTCAACAAAATATCGAAAAATGTCCTCAAGTGAGGATAAAAAAAAAAGAAAAAATAGTTTTTTGGATAAGTCAGTGTATTCATTTTGGATTATTTAATCAAAATAGACTCCTTAAAGTAGAATTAGTAGAGCGAAGGGTTGAACATTTTTAAGTCTCTTGATATACACTAGGATAACAAAGTTCTTTATAACAAGGGGAGAATGAACTCCGATACTAAATCACTGACAGAATGCCAAATATATATGTGATTTAAAACATAGATTTAAATCATTGTCATATAGATACATACAGATGGTCTCCGGCTCATGATGGTTCAATTTAACAATTTTTCGGCATTATGATGGTGTGAAAGCAATACTCATAACAAATTACATGAGATATTCAATACTTTACTATAAAATAGGCTTTATGTTTGATGATTTTGCCCAACTTTAGGCGAATGTAAATGTTCTGAGTACATTTCAGGTAGGCTGAGCTAAGCTGTGATGTTTGGTAGGTTAGATGTATTAAATGAATTTTCGACTTGGGATATTTTCAACTCACAATGTCTTTATTGGGACATAACACTATCCTAAGTCAAGGAGCAGCTATATATACACACACACACACACACACACACATATACACATACATATATGACAATATATATATGACAATAATTAATACATCTGATTTTGAAATTTTATATCTGGTTAAAATATTTTAATTTGTATCTTTAGCTAAAAGGTGCTTCTGGAGAAAAGAAGTAAATTTCAGCTGTGAAATGCACATGGAATTCTCCTCTGAAAAGTGGAAATAACACCTCTGATCTTATACTGCCCTCCCCTGCCCCTTTGCCCCTTCTCAGCTGTTGCCTTTGTCTGCACTGCCCCTCTCTTCACTGAATGGCAGCCCAAGTCCTTCCTTGAGGCTCTGTTTAAATAGCACCTCTTCTCAGAAGCTTCCTGGTCCCTCTGGTTAGAATGAATGCCTCCCCTTTACACCCTATAACCTCTCTATAGGCTTCCTTAGTGGTCTTGCAGCTGAGGGATGTAGGCTCGCTGCCCTGCTAATGACCAAATTCTCCAGTACCCTAGCGCCTACTGTGTGAGGCACTATTTCACCGAGATTAAGAGCATGGATTTGGAGTCAGGCTACCTGAGTTCAAGTCCTGGCTCTCCCACGCTCTTGCTGTAAGACCTTGGGCTAATTCCTTAACCTCTCATGCCTCTGTTTCTTCATCTGTACATGGGGGATAAGAATTGTACCCTTACCCCATAGGATTAAGAGAGGTGATGAATACGAAGATCGGAGAACAGCACTTGGCATATAGTAAGGATTATATCAACTTTAGCTATTACTAGTTTTATGTGCCTGGCACTGTGCTGGTCACTGTCATGCGTCTAGTCACCTCTGTCTCCACTACCCCATTTATACACCTGTTAGTAAACTTTTCCAGTATGATCATGGTCCTTCCACAGCTCCCCACTGCCTTCATTTTTTATTATTTTATTTTAAAATTTGCCTTTATTGTTGAAAGTATTAAAGATAGCCTCCCTTTTCTTTATTCCTCCCCCACCACTGACACCTCCTACCTACTCCCGCCCACCCCCTGCCTTCACCCTACTATTGCCTATGTCCATTCCCATTGCCTTTAGTGGTTCTAGAGTTATTTGTCTGGGTCCAAATACCCCTCCTAGGTGTGTGGCTTTGGACAGGCTACTTAATCTCTCAGTGATTCATTGCCTTCATTTGGAAAATGGGAGATATTAGTAATTAAAACCTACTTCATCTGGTTGTTGTGAGGATTAAACAGGACCATGAATGTAAACCACTAAAAATATAGTTCATATGAGTAAGTGCTCCAATATGTTAGTCATCGTTATTGTTTTTATTGCATGTGCTTAGCAGACACGTGCGGGACGGAATCAGATGTCGTCCAGGATATGAGAGGCAATAAGGATGTAGTTTTTGTAGGAAGCCCTCACTGCCTCTTCCCTGCTAGAATAGCATCAAATTGGCCCCTCTCCCTCCCACTTCCTCCTCCCTTCATTTTTTCCTTTTTTCTCTCTCATATAGAGAATTCTAAAATCTGCCTCAAACTTGCTATGCATTATTCACTGACAATCTGTATTTTAGTTCCTCTGAACAGTGAAAAGGCCTGTGTCAATTTGTCTTTTAAAGCTGCTTCTTGCAGAATCCACATACGCCCATTACTGGTGACTTTGGCTGGAACAGCATCTGCAGAGGCCTATCGCAAATGACCCCCATTTAATGCGAGCTGTGACTTCCCAAGGCTGCTGCTCATTAGTGTCTGCTTCTTATTTCTTCCCAGTGTTCAGACATGAGATGAAACTGAAAGAGCTTTTTACAAAGACTACTGAGGCGGCTGCAAAACCGAGCATCTGGGCCTGGTACGAAAGAAAGGGGAGCTTGGCAGAGGTACCAAGGAGGAAAAACAGGTACCATGTCTCCTGGATTGCAACATGGACTTTGCCTTTCCACAGCTGAATGATTCTGAGATTGCAATGTGTCTGAAGTCCTCGTGTACGTTTTAGGCAGTGTGTCCGCCCCACTCCCCATCCTCCAAACTGAAAAGTTGTTGTTAAATTGATGGTATATTTTAAAACCTTTCTGATGGCACTTTTGAATTTCAAAAAGTTGCTCAAATATAAGAAAGCCTGCATTAACTTTTGAGAAAATTGCTCAAAGCCAGCTTAGAGGTATAGAGTGGGGAAGATAATTCTTTTTTTTTTTTTTCCTCACCCAAGGACATTTTTTCGTTTTGTTGTTGTTGTTGTTGTTGTTGTTCAGATAGAGTGGGAGGGAGAGAGAGGAAGAGAGAGATACATCGACGTGAAAGGGACACATTGAGTGGTTGCCACCTGCACAACCCAACCAGGGCTGGGGACAAACTGCAACCGAGGAACATGTCCTCAGCGGAAACTGAACCCAGGTCTCTCTGGACCACAGGCCGACGCACTAACCGATGAGCCAAACCGGCCAGGGCGGGGGAGATAATTCTTAACCACAGGGAAGAAAATGGGCCTGAAGGACAAGATATCTGAGTAACCAGTGGCCTTGCTGTCCCTCGTCAGGCAGAGAAGCCTGGCTGGCTTGGAATGGTCCTTTCTCTGGGGAATAGCCCAGTCAGAGCATAAATACCTGGGTGTGTCCCAACCACTGCTACAGGTGCTGGTACGAGGGAACCCCAGGTTTGGTTTCTCTCTCTTTGACTGAAAACTGCTATTATTCTTTTTTTTTTTTTTTAATTGAATTTATTGGGGTGACCTTGGTTCACAAAACCATACAGGTTTCAAGTGTACAACTCGACAAAACATCACTGCACACTGCATTGTGTGCCCATCTCCCCAAGCAAAGTAGCTTTCTGTCTCCATTTCCCCCCTTTGTCCACTTCTACCTACGCCCCTCCTCCCTTTCCCTCTGTCTATCACCACACTGCTGTGTGTGTGTGTGTGTGTGTGTGTGTTTGCTTAGTCCCTTCGCCTTCTTTTATCCAGCCACTCCCTCCCCTCGACAGCTGTCAGTCTGTCCCATGTATCTGTGCCTCGGGTTCTATTTTGTTGGTCAGCTTACTTTGTTCATTAGATTCCCATATAAGCGAGATCATGTGGTACTTGTCTTTCTCTGACTGGCTTATTTCACGTAGCATAATACTCTCCAGGTCCATCCATGCTGTTGCAAAAGGTAAGATTTCCTTTTTTTTTTTTACAGCCAAGTAGTATTCCATTGTGTAAATGCACCACAGCTTTTTTATCCACACATCTACTGATGGGTACCAGAGCTGCTTCCAAATCTTGGCTATTGTAAAAAAAAGCTGCAATGAACATAGGGGTGCACAAATTCTTTCGAATTAGTGTTTCAGGTTTCTTCAGATATATTCCCAGAAGTGGGAATGCTGGGTCATAAGCCAGTTCCATTTTAATTTTTTGAGGAAACGCCATACTGTTTGCCACAGTGGCTGCAGCAGTCTGCATTCCCACCAGCAGTGCACAAGGATTCTCTTTTCTCCACATCCTCGTCAACACTTGTTGTTTGTTAATTTATTGATGTTAGCCATTATGACAGGTGTGAGGTGATAGCTCAGTGTGGTTTTAATTTACATCTAACATCTCTCTGATGACTAGTGACGCTGAGCATTTTTTCATGTCTACTGGTCATCTGTGTGTTCCTTTTGGAGAAGTGTCTATTTGGGTCCTTTGCCCATTTTTTTAATTGGGTTGTTTGTCTTCTAGTGTTGAGTAGTATAAGTTCTTTATTGTTTATATTATATATAAGTTCTTTATTATATATAAATTCAAATTATATATTTCAAAAATTAACCCCATATCAGATGTAACATTGACAGATATGTTCTCCCACTCAGTGAATTCCCTCTGCGTTTTGTTGATGGTTTCTTTTGCTGTGCAAAAGCTTTTTAGTTTGATGTAGTCCCATTTGTTTATTTTTTCCTTTGTTTCCATTGCCTGAGGAGATATATTGGCAAAAATATTGTTCCAAGAGATATCTGAGATTTTATTGCCTATGTTTTCTTGTAGGATTTTTATGGTTTTGCAACTTACATGTAAATCTTTAATACATTTTGAGTTTATTCTTGTGTATGGTATAAGTTGGTGGTTCTAGTTTCATTTTTTTTTTTGCATGTTCTTTGAGGTTTGTAAAGGCACAGGACTACATTTGGGAGTAAAAGTAGTTGTGAAGATACACAATTATTTTCTTACGGTAAATCAAATCAAACTGCTTGTTAAATTAATTAGTTAATTAATCTGACAAATACTTACTGAGCAATACTATGTGCCTGGCCCATGCTGGTCACTTTATGTACGTTGTCTAAAGAGATGGTCTGAGCAACTCTATGAGGCAGATATAAATCAGCCCCATTTCCCAGGCCCAGTAACTGAGGCCCAGAGAAGACTGACTCCATCCAGTTCACAGGCAGGAGCTGGTGCAGCAGGCACAGGGGCCCGGTCTGTCTACCCCAGAACTCCTGCTCTTTGTGCTGCCCCATCTCATTTGCTATGGCTCCAACATGCTTTCTTTTCCCAGAGCAGAAACTCGAGGGCCACGGTGATGCGGTAGAGTCAGGACTAGAATGTGGGTGTCTGACACACAACCCAAGGTTCTTGTTAATACTTTGTGTCAAAAAGCCAGGTGGGGGTGGAGGGCAGACCAAGCAAGCCTTTTCCTGGTGATAACCCCCTCTTTTTTTTTTTTGCTTACTAAGCCCAACAAAGCTGCACGCTCCACTCTGAGTCACCACATCCCATGAGAACAGTTGGGGCAGACAATTCACAGCAGTGTTTCATCAATGTGATTTAGCTGAAGCTAAAAGATCAACTCCTATCAGGGATTATGTGATGGATGCAGGGAGGAAGGGTCTCTTCTCTGTGGAATCCGAGCAGAGGCACACGCTGTCTCACCTGAGCTTCAGGAAGGACTTCTCCATGCCCAAATCCCTTTCATAAGCAGGTGTAATTATTCTGTCCTTTGTCCTCGCCTGCACCAGTGTGAGAGTAAATCTTTAATCTGAGAACCATTAGAATGGCAGAACAGTGAGGTCACCTCGATTAGGAGCTAATGGATTCTCTACCCTTTGTTCTGATGATAATGGGATGAGACAATGAAATATTACTCTGAAGCTTCTGCGAGAGAATTTACAGGCTAGTGTGTTTTGCAAATTAGGTGGCAATACAGAGACGAAACCAGCGTAAAACGTTTCTGTTCCTTGGCAGCTCCAGGAGCAGTTGGTTTCTTGTGTCGGCCTCTTCCAAAAGTGTCTCCCCTCCTCTGCCTCCAAGTCCCCCAGCCCCCACCTGGCTTACCTTGCAGCAGTGTATAGAAGGCACCTGAGGCAGACAGGTTGGTGGTGATGGTGACATCATCTTTGCTGGAGGTCTCTACCTGGACATGCACTGAGCTGTCTGTATCACTTCGGAAACTGCTCACCTGGCCAGTAGGGAAGGTCACGTTTGTCAGGCGGCCAAAGCTGTCGTACCTGAAAACCAAGGGGTGGTTCTGAGTAACAGAAACATAATGGTGCTACAGCTGGAACTTGGCATGTTCTACCTCATGCGACAGTGTCGCATGTCCTGCTTTTCTTTCTGGTTGGATACACTGCCATGTCTCCTACATCTCCTTGCACTTAGTTTCCAGGATAAGGCTCCGCTTGCTGATACCCGACGGCAGGCCAATGACTTACCTCTTGGAGTCTTCCTTTCCTGATCCCGTAAAGTAGACACGATCAACCCTGTCCCAGAGCTGGGGGACTCCCAGAGCTGATGGGGGCAAGCCTGGTGCTTGAACGCCCTCTCAAAACCCCTGACAACTGGCATATAGATTTGACCCAACAACACTAGAAATGAGGCTTCCCAGAAAGCTCTAGATCCTGGGAAAAGGGGACTGTGGATTCAAACCAGGACCCTGCTGCCACATAAGCAGGTCAGACAGACAGGCTATTGCAACCTCTTCCCATCTAGATCCCACACCTGGCTCCAAGCAGCTACCTGTCTGCAGCTCTCACAACTCACAGCTCTGCTCTGGTGCGGTCCGTCTGACGTATCATCACTGAATCTCAATCCGTTTCCCTACTCTCCTGATAATAATAAAAGAAATACCTACCATTGTTGAACACCTCCCAATGTACCAGGTATGGTGTTAGTCCCTTTTCATACATTCTCTCATTTAACCCTCACAACCAGTCTAAAAGGTGTATATTATCTGCATTTTGGAGGAGGGTCAGGAATGGAAGCTCAGAAAAGTGAAGTTACCTGCTCAAGGTCACACAGATAAATGGGTGGAGTCAAAACTCACACTCAGATCTATCTGCTTCCAAGCTACCACCCGCTCCTCTGTCTTCAACGAGAATGTCTGTTCCGTGTATTTGCGAGTACTCATTGCGTGCTCGCCTAGCTGCTGTGGAGTGGCTGGAAATGGCAGGGGGTAGGCTATTAACATTTCAGTTATTATTTGTAATTAGGGGAGGCTGCAGTGTAAAAAGGTCGGTTTAAATAGCCTTTTTGCACTTGTATGTGAATGGCAGAAAAGTTCTTCAACCAGATGTCAATATATATACATTTTTGCTTCACGAGTTTAGGTGCCATCCTTCTGCGGGGGCCATGCTAATCTTCTCTGTGTCATTCCAATGGTGGTGTACGTGCCGCCGCAACAAGCACTCGATGCGATATTTCTGGCTTCCACTCCTGCTCAAGCTTGCAGCATGGGCTCGTCCATGTCCCCCCGGGTGCGCCGGGCTTCCCTCCGGACCTTCCCCCCTGCTTTGCTTTTACTACTGGGATTTTTTTGTTTGTTTTTAATCCTCACCCTTTTTTGTTTGTTTGTTTTCATTTATCTTCAGATAGAATGGGAGGGAGAGAGGAAGAGAGAGAGAGAGAGAGAGAGAGACATCAATGTGAGAGAGACACATCGAGTGGTTGCCTCCCACATGACTCCAACTGGGGCCAGGGATAATGCAACCGAGGTTCGTGCCTTAGTGGGAACCAAACTCGGGACTCTCTGGTCCATGGGCCAACGCTCTAACCACTGAGAAAACCAGCCAGGGCTTACTACTGGAGTTTTACTACTGGTTTTAATAATGTTGAAATAAAAGGCCCAAAAGTTCAGCTTGTCCTGGCTCTTTGGTGATTCCCTAGGCTGGGCCTGGCTTCCCGCCTGGATGCCTGGGTCCTGCAGCTTCGGTGGCTTTAGCTGAGGCTTGTAAATGACACGAGGCAGGCCTGCGCTGAGCGACTTTCTGCCGACGGTCAGATTTGGGTGCTGCGTGGATTCTGCCACCTGCCAACTCTTTCTGTCTCTGGGCCTGGCACTGATCACGGCATTCTTTACACTGAATGGTGACAGTCCCTGGCACAGTCGGCCACCGAGGCGGTGTTGGTAAAGGTCTTTTGAAGGACTCACCCCAGTTCTTGACCCAATACTGACTTTGAGGGAAGGGTCAAGGGGCTTTGGGAAAGTTGAATCTCTGTCGCCGAGGCGTGAGGAAGGGGGTGGAAGCCCTTTCCCAGATGGTGAGGAAGGCGGGCGGCCTCAACCACACACCTCAGCCGGGCTTGGAGGAGCAAGGCCGTGGGGCTGTTGACCCCGTCGGCTCTCCTGCGGGCAGTTAGGGCCTTCAGAAGCCTGTTTCCTGTCCTGATGTCTCATGCTTCCTCCTTAGTACCGAGTCCGATTCTTGTAGGAAATGGTCAGTCTGGTTGAGGGGTGGGTGATGACATGGCCTGAAACCTGGACTGTGTCCCAGGGGCAGAGCGGCCCTGAGAGCTGGGGGAGGGAGTGGTTCTGAGGCTGCTGTGAGGAAGGAAGGCCCTTCTCAACCGGAGACTCCCTGGGGGCTCCGCCCCTTCCCTCTGGGAGAGGCATTTGAGGAAGGCATTGCACCCCTGTGTTTACAGGGGTTCTCTCTCAGAGGTGGAATGACAGGTGATTTCAACTGCTTGTTTATATATGCCTTACGTTCCCAAGAGTTTCTATAACTAACACGGTTGTTTTCATGATCAGAAGTATTCTGCCAACATACTGGGGACTTGTGACCGTGGCCATCCTGGAGACGAGGACCTTTTAAACATGACTGCCATTTAAAGAAGGGTCTCATTATAGGACACCTGCCAATATCAGTATCCAGGCTTTGTCAGTAAAATATTACTTGGGTACCTCAAATTTCTGAGCCAAATATCAAGACTCCCGAAGATTGGCTCAGCCCTGGTCGAATTAACGGTACCTGTGTCCTGAGTAAGCACAGTCCTGTCAGATCCTGAGTCATCTTTTCAATCAACAAGAAGATCCATTTCAGTCCGACAATTTCACAGGATGGATGCTGACCTGGTATGGTTCTTTGAACACCTGTTATCCACGTACACATGCTTTATTCATGAGACTTACTCAAACTATATACTTTCCTCACCTAACTGGATAAAAAAGACTTTATTATACCATGCAGGATACTTAAAAAGGAGGTTTAGGGTCTTATAACTAAGAACTGATAGAGAGATTATTGATTAGGGGTCAGATGCCACTTCACTACTACTTCTAACAAGGCCTTGTTCAAATACCACCTCACAAAGCTCTCCTGGGTCTCTCTTGGGAGCCTCTGGCCCAGTTCTGTCACAGAACGTCCCTGGTATTGACATGGCTGATGTACCAGTTGTCTCCGGCTTAGGCCTGGGAGTGCTTGAGTCAGGACAGGGCTGTGAAGTCACGCAGTCAGGCTGGGGATCTAGAGTCTACCACCTGCCAGCCACGGGACGCTGGAGGGTTGCCTCTCAGTGCATCTCTGCTTCCCAGCACTGAGACTGGCACAGAGAAGACAGGCAGGGCATGTTGGCTGCACAAATTAACGAACGCATGACTGGACATGCAGGGCCTCTTTCCTGCTCTTGGAGAAGGGAGCCCATGACATTTGCACAGCACCTCCTGCTGGACTTGGCAGAGGCTCGACACACAGTAGGCACATAATAAACACTTGCTGAATGCACAAGTATGGACACAACTGCTTTCACTAAATGGTACTTCAGCAATTTCCATAGGAATCTCCCTAGAGTTTTCGTCCCCAAGACAGGAGGAGGCTTTGCATAAAGGCAGACAACTGTAATTATTATTGAAGGTAGCCGGTAATACGTAATTAAATTGAGCCTGAAGAAGAGACAATGAAAAGGCCCCATGCCTTTAAGATCTGGTTTTCATTTTATATGAGATGGCTGAAAAACAATAATTTCCACTCGTCACATTTTCCATTAGAAGGACTGAATGTCTTAATTAAATGAACATCAAATAAAACAGCCAATTTATAGAATTTTCTTGTCTCTTATTCATTCATTGCGGTGTCTTCCAGAGCTTGAGAAACGCCACTGGACCTCTCTGCTGCCTGATCAATACCTGTGATTATCCCATCAGAACACTTGCTTCCGCCTCTGCGGGACGAACTGGAGCTGCCATCCCCGGGACTGTGAGCACCTTTGCCCTGCGGCGCCTCTGTGGAGCCATTTCTCCTCCTGCTGCAGAGCTGCCAGGGGACAGGCCAGTGCTGCCCAACAAAGGACCAGGGGACAGTTCTCTGCACTCTCTGGATTCCAAGTGGCTGCTCCTGACCCTGGCCCTGTGACTGGGTGACTTCTGGACAATGGTTTAGTCACATCTGTCGTGGTTTTACTTCAAGTACTGGCAAAAATTCGTTCTTTCTAGCCACGGAGAACAAAGGAATGTGTTGGTGTGGGAAGGTCCTTGGAGCCAGAAGGTCTAGGCTTTGAACCCAGGCTCTGCAGCTGCCGGCAACACGACTCAAGAGGATGGGCACTCAGTTCTGTTCTGCTGACCCTCAACCCCCACAACAGCGGTATCATTTCAGGCAGGTTATATAACCTAACCTCTGGGAGCCTCTATTTTCTCCTCTATTAAATGAGGATAATAATACCTATCTTAGACAGAAAATCAAACAAGGTAGCATATTTAAAATAAAATGTCAATGCTTAACATGGCCTGTAGGACCCAATGAGACTTCTTTCACTAGTCTGTCAACCCTCTGAGGGAAGGGACTTTGTGTGGTCACTGATGTATCCCCAGAACTTAGAAGAGTTCCTGGCAGATGCTCACTAATGGGAATGAATGTTGGTTGAAAGACCTGCTCCTTCCTACCTCTTCTTACAATTTCACTTTGAACCTTACTCCTCCATACTTCCTGCTTTCCATTACATCTGCTTCCGATCTGCAAACATGCCAAGCTCAAACCAGGCTTGGGGTACTCTCACTTACTGTGCCCCTTGCTGGGAATGCTCTTGGTATGGCTGGTTCCTTCCAGTACTCACGTTTTAGTTAAAATGCTATCTTTTCAGACCTTTCCTGATCACCCTTTCTGAAACAGATAGGCCCTCCCATCTCTATCGCATTATCTTGCTTTATTGTCTTCATCATACTTATTATATTGTTTCTGTGTTTACTTATTTGTTGCCTGTCTCTTCCCACTAGAATATAAGGTCCATGAGTAGAGGGACCTTGTCTGCATTCTCAGTGCCTAAGAGGAGTACCCGGCATATAAAAGGTGCTCAATACATATTTCTTGGATGAATAAATGAATGAATGTAGATACTGTTGTTTTCTCAAGATGTGGACTGAAAATAAGAACTCCACCCTTTTAACTCCCGCTTCCATATAAGGAAGGGAAAGTTCACTAATATTCATAGAGTACTATTGAGGTACCATGCACCATGCTCACAACCATCTTTTGAGATGCGCATTATTATCGGCATTTCACAATTGCTGGAGCTGAGGCTCAGAAGGGAGAAGTAACTTGCCTGAGGTCACACAGCTAGTAGAGGACTATAGATTCAAAGTCAGACTGTGTTCTTTCATCAGGCCTCCCATAAAAATGATGCTGTTTCAAATCAAAACCTTTGTGTTTCATCACTATGTTAAAGAAAATACTGTGTTTGGAAATCTCGGTCAAGAAGATTGACAGTTTTCTCTTCAAGATGCTTTGCTTTGATACCACTGTAATTGACCCTTCAGTGATGCCAGCCCCCACTCGGGGGGTATGATGGAGATGACCAGATGATTGGCTTTTTATTATTTCCTTCTACTGACTTTTCTTCACTCCATTTTCCCAAAGCGTCTTTGAAGCATGGGGAAAGAAAACACATAAAAGATTCATAGAGTTGCTGTGAACTGGGCTCTCAGAAGAGGACCACTAAAGGGTATCTTCACACATACTGCAAAGCTTTCTTCTTCACACTCAATACTTCACATCTCAAACCTCTTAACTCTGAGCAGCTGTGGAAGAAGATGCCAAATGGCCTCTCTGATACTAACTTTTGTTGATTGGGACTTGTTGGTTGGGAAATAAAAGATTTGATTTTTATGACTTTCTTCTATGAATGTTTCAAACACCACCATCATCAACAAGAATGGCCCATACATATGGACAGTTCTCTCGGTCTCAGGTCACTATAATAAATGGCGTCACTACATCATTAGTTCTCCCAAACTGTATCAGTATCAGAGCAAGGATACTTTATGGCTTCTGCAATAAATACTAATTCGTGCTGCCCATTTCCCATAGAATTGAGTCCCAACAATGAATTCTAGCCTTCAGGATTTCTAAGATCTCGCTCACCCCACACTGTAGGTCTTCCCTCTCACTGATGATGTACTTGAGGCAGTGCGTCTG